AAATTATTAAAGTGGAAGGAGAAAAGGATAACTATCGAAATGTGTGGGTTTGACACTTAAAGACTAAAAATATGAACGGCTATTAGCAGCAGTTAATGCGAAATTCGTGGCCGCAGGACCGATTGACACTGCTGACTGCTGAGTGGTTTAGTAGTTTTCAGCTGCCGGAAATAATCGTTCTTTGGAATCAAAGTAATTACGGGATGCGTGTTCCGTTTCCGCTTCTTTTACTTTCCCGTTTCGGGTCCGTCGTTTTCTCTTTTCTTTAAAAAAAAAGTTACTTGCAAAATTTATAAACTACTTCATCTTATAAATGACACATTTTTCTTTTGAGAAAAATATATTTAAATTTTTTTTTTATAAGTTTGGCCAAATATTAATTACATCTCAGAATTACTTTTTAAATTAGTTATACAAACACAAGCTGCTTCTTCTCAAAATAAGCTGGTTTAGCAGTATGACCAAATATGTTATTAGTGCATTCCAAAAGAATAACATATTTTTAAATTTGAAAATAATTTCACTTTAAAAATTTTATTTTACCCACTTTATCATTAATGAAAAACTTTTATATTCACATAAATATCATGGTCCCTTAAACTTTTAGAATTACATATTTTTTAAAAAATATTTAAATTTTATATTAAATCAAACTAAATCATCTAAATTAAAACGGGGAGTACTTATTGGCTTTAAATGATTATTATCCCCTCTCGAGACTTATCGGTCCTTCGGTAAGACTTCCATGGTCATAGTATCGATGCTAGAAAAATTTATGGTACAGGCTAGGACTGCAAGTAGTTAAATTTGACGATTTCTTTTCTTAAAGAAGATTAAATCAATTATGTTGATTTTTTAATTTATAAATCAAATTAAATCAAATCAATATAAGCCGATTATTTGGATATCAGTTCTCTTGATTCTTTTCCATTTTTGCTTTTCAAATTTCTTTCTAATCATACATATTAAAATTGGCATATCATATAATTGAAAGTTTTACTATGGTAATTGAAGAAAATAGAAAATAATAAAAGACTAATAAGGTATACCTTTATCGAAAGTCACAACAATATTACATATATCAATCAATACATCATAGTTAAATATAAAAATTTTCGTGGCTAATCACTTTAGCAACTGAGCTAGAATTATTTTTATTTTTCTTGTAACATTAAATATTGAGCAGAACAAAAAGTTTTAGGCTAAAATAAGCTACGCATATTAGTAATTTTACGAATAATAGCAACACTCGAAAATTTATTTATCCAATTGAGAAAAAGGAGAATGATAACTTTTATTTATATATATATATATATAGATATATGAAGGTAGTATGTTAGCATTGTACCAAATTTTTCTTTCCTGTTTTCCCTTTCAATTGTCACTGCAGGTTCATTAGTCTTTTTAATAATGAGGACTTTATTGTCTTTTCAAAAATATCCTACTACCGAAAAGATCCAATCATTTCAATCCCTATTTTTCCTTTTTGGCGATTTGCTCTAGGTCATTTCCTCGGAGAATTATGCCATCTATTTTCTCTCCGGCGTCTCTCCACTTCTATCTCAGGCAAACCACTTCTCCTCCCTCTTCCTCCCATGTCCTTTCTTTTTCATTTTCATCCACTCATGGGTATACCCAAGCACACCAAAATACATTATCATATCATCAATTATAAAATATCAAATTTGTAAATTTTCAGTCAATTCAGTTTTAAACCAGCACTACCAGATCATGGCGGAGAGTTTTTATTACCATTTTAACCACTCGTTAAAAACCTTTAAAAATTCAGAAGGATGCAATAGGTATTATTGTCATTATAAACGTATAATAATAAACAATCCGAATACAAAAAAATATATATACGTAGCTGTTATATTTGATTTGCAACCAAAATTGATTTCATCTCAAGAAAGAAGCAAGACAACATGAGGAAGAGATGGGGAGATGGGAAAAGAAAAAGGACGAGGGATCTAAGACAGAGAGCAAACCTGAAGAAGATGATTGTTTCATGAAATTTACGACAATGCCCTTTGGCTAATTAAGAAACAGTGACAATTGGAAGGGCAAATAATGGGAAGAAAAATTGGGTACAATGCTAACATATATTCTACTTATTTAGAAGGGGGAGTTGAGGTGCTCTTTGTCGTCCTCTTTGGGCTATTTTTGGAATTTCAATCCCTGCTTCGGGGTTATTTTTGGAAATATGTCCTCTAAGTGGCTTAAACCTTTTCTCGTGTACATTCTTTTTGTTCAACACGTAAGCGCCAGCACGTTTTTTGTATATCCTTTTTCTTTTTCTTTTTCTTTCTCTCCTCTCTGCCTCTCTTCAGATTCTTCAAGGTATAGATCTCTCTAATTCTCTTTGTTTTCTCCCCAAGTTTGGAATTAAAGCTGCGTATTATGGGCTGTTGATTTTGTTCCAGGGTTTTTGCTATTCGAGAGTTCTGATTGAATTGAACTCAAGCCCAAGTTGCTTCCACTATAACTCTTCACACCAAACTCCAAAGCAAGACTGGAGAAGATGACGATTTGTAATAAGATGTTTGCCGCGTCTATCAGGTGTTGAGGTGTACTTTGCTTTGTCAAACACGTGGTGTGCAATTCTTCAATCTTCCCTTGTGTCTGTGTTGGTAGATCTCTGTCGTTCCTTCTTTGTTTTTCCTTTTAGGTTGGGAATTAAAGCTATGCAATTTGGGTTGAGTCATTCTTATAGGGTTGTAGTCAGTGCTGGATATATGTTTTCAAAGAGTGACGAGTGTCGGTCTTATAAAATGTGGCTGCCGACGCAGTTGGACTCACCGTTTGTCAGCTCATCCTCATCCTCACTCTATTTTGCGCAGGTCGATTTTCTTTTTGCGGCTGCTAGGTGATTCATTTTTCTTCTGCCTGCCGTTCTCCGTGTTGGCATTACTGAAACATAAAATTATGAGTTCTGCTGAGAGGTGAGACATGCTTTTGCTGAAATTTCATGTTTGTTGCTGTGTACTACTCTGCTAACAAGTTCGACTTGGTTCTTTTAGCTAGCTTTCTGTTTCATCTTGATAAATCTTATGGCTTTACTTGGCTTATTAAATGACATATAACAAACTACATATATTTAATTAATGGCAGTTCGATACTATAACTCTATAAGTGATTTCAGAATGAGGTGCATTTTTTTGTTTTAATACTTAAAAAGCGATAACCAACTGCTTGACATATTCTATTGGGTTCTCCGGACTTTGATTTGGATTAAGGCTTGGGAAATTGGATAACCGAAGAGAAGTATAGAGAAGAAAGACAGGGACATCAGAAAAAGGGGAAGAGACTTTTATGTCGCGGAATTGGCGAGATGGATGCTGACTTAAAGGGGGTGGTAAGAAAGGAATTGAGATTTGGTGAGGTTAGAAAGATTTGACACTCTGGCTGTTGAAATGTTGAAGAGGTCGAGTTTTCTTTGTGTGGGCCCCGACAGATTTATTTTATTTAATTTCAGTTAGCTTTGGTATATATGTTACCAGGAAGAAAATTATTATCACATGATAGATTGGTCAAGTCATTCCACAGAAATAAATTTAGCTTTTAGAATACAAAAGATTGGTATGGTCGTGTAACTACATTAGATGATGTGATCGTAGCAACAGATTTATCAGCGCCTAATATGCTTATGTGTGCTTCCAAAATTAACAATGAAACCGAAAAAAAAGAATAGTTTGCAAGGAGATACATGTACTTAATTGAGATAGTGCTGGAGATCTTTTAAATATAAAATGTAATGGCTACTCCTAAAAAACTACAATAGTCTTCCATCCATGTTGTACTAGAGTATATTGCTGAAGTCTTAAGTGTAATTTACAGGGAAAAAAATATTTATACATATCATTATGCAATTTAAAAGAGAGAGAAAAGGCAAAGCTACAAATAAAACAAAAAGAAAAGCTTCATGATTGTTTTCAAAATTTCATCTTTCTTTATGAAAAAGAATGATAGTTGTTCTGTAGGTTTCTAAGGTGATTGGAGTACTTACCCTCAAGGAGGTCAAATTTTTTATCAATGGATCCGTGGCAAAGAAGAGGTTGACATGCTACACTTGTTATTTGGAATGAAGGTTTCTGCAGTGCAACTGCATTTGACTCTGTATACACCTTCCATGAGAAGCTTGCATGTTATTGTGGAAAGTATGGACCATCTTTGGAGGAAATCAAGTTTTTATACAGCTAGGATCTAGCCTAGGCTACAACACACTTTCGTTAGGATCTTCAATTGTATGCTTGGTAATATGGAAGGTAAAATCAAGATTCATGGATCTATCTTATCCAACAACGTCCTTTCCTATTTAGTATTGATATCTTTATTACAAAATTTACCTAACTGCTTGCATTGTTCTCTTTTGTCACTTGCAGTGAAGTAGTGCTTCCTGGTTACATTAAAGAGGACAACATTAAAGGCATATATGACACTCTTGAGGAGTGTGCTTTATTGACAAACCAACCGCAGGGAATGTATATAGTAAGTTCATTCTTCGATCTTCGTATGACTTCTTTGAACTCCCTTTAGACAAGCTACTCGAAATCAAACTTACACCATATCTCTCTCAATTGAAAAATGTTCTGTATTCTAAGACTACTGCAGGGGTTGATAGCTCAATTTCTTGGCCGGACAAGCTTTGGTAGGAAAATTACTTATTCTTTTTCATTCTTTAACTCTGCGTTTCTTATTTCAATATCTTCTTAGTTGTTTGGCTAATCTGCAAGAATGTGACTCCTCATGAGAATCATTTGATTCAGTTAGTTTACAATATCCAATGTAAATATGCTGAATTCTACATTCAGGTTTAGTGGTTTCAACTCCTTTATTCTTGATAAAAAATTAATTTCAAATCATTTCTTCCGGCTTTTCAGGCGATTAGTCTTTTCAAAGAAATAACTTTGATTGGCTGAAGAGCTGTGTCAATTGATTACCCATGAATCATAGGAACTCAACCAAAGTTGTCCCGAGACAAGGTATTGCTAAGCATTTTACTAAGAATGGGTTATTAGAAATGGATGAAGAGTGACTAACCAGTACTCCTTTAGATCCAATAGATGATACAAGAAAAGAAGAGTAGAATAAGAAAGCAAAATGATGTTGCTACTTTCTACGACAAGTCCAGCCTTTAAAACACAAGTTGGCCATTTAGCATGCCTATGGTTTGAATATTTTAGACATGAGCTAGAGTAGGCAAAACACAGTATAAAGTGAAGCTTGTTTGATATTTAAAAGGTGTTTTCTTGTACTCCATAGATTCTCATTCTTAATAGTACATGCTTAATGTTTATTGACTTTAAAATTGTTCAACGACAACATAGCACCTTTGTTGATCGGTTTCTAGGATTTAATTTCGCTACATCTAATTTCTTGCTAGCTGCCAAGGAAAGCATCTGTATTTTCAAAGGAAAAGAAAGAAAATAAAGTATTTATATTCTGTATAATTCATTCCTTTACTCCAATTGAAAACAACGTTGACGTACTGTGCATTGCAATTTAAAGACTTTATCTAGGTTTTCAGTAAGTTTTTCCTTTGACACAATAATTTAAAAGTGCAAATATTTATTATGCTGCTGCTATCTTTATTATACTAAAACGTTTTGGAGTTGGTTCACTTGAAGCTGTGGTTTGTTACCTCTTTAAAGTCTTCAGGATAAACTCTTTTTTAGGCTGTTTCGGTATATAAGCCTAGGAGTTAAAG